GTTGACTGGTGGTATTATCACCCAAAGTGGGCAAGGGTTCTGCTAAATAATTCTGTGTGCGCCCACACGCTTCTGAAATGCGCACTCGCAATTGGCAAAGCTACACACACTAACATTGACCACTTCGTCTTCTTACAAGCCTTAAGAGCTACCCCCCGTGGGTGACGACTCTGTTTCTTTGTCTGTCTCTGCCGTGGACTCGGTCTTCTGTCAGTCGCACTGCAACCAAATTTAGACATTGACCACACTTCTCTGGGCTACACCATTTTCCTAAATTTCACTGGGCCAGGTTCGCACAACAAGCACTTAAACTGCGGCCACCGGCGGCAACCTGCGCCCCCGCCCCCGCCCAAATATAGTCCGCCAGTCTCATCAGTTCCTCTGTATCTCCGTCCCTCTCGCCCTCCCTCTCTGACTGGACAAGGCTGCACACTGCAGGAACTCTCGCTTCTGTCAAAATGCAACAGCTGGACGGCATCATGCTCTGCTCTGGAGGAAGCACCATTTGAGCCGTCGCAGAAACATGATCTGTGCATCATCAACAAATCGTTGATGCATGCCGAGTTCGTGCTGAACAAGCAAGACCTTCCCCGAAAAATGCGAATCGCGCATGTCGCCTTTCACGGATTGTTAAACTTTCGCTTAATGGAACCAGCACAGCGCCACGGGCGCCTCGGTTCGGCTTTCCAGCTTGGGGCTTTTCCTGGCAAGAACTGAGAGTCACCTCGGACCTCCACTAAACTGCGGTCTCGGGATCCGGCCGAGAGAGCTTGCATGGCTGGGCCAGAGGTGATTCGAGGTGCTGATGAATCACCATGCACTCTTTGCAAAATAAAGCCGAAGACTCGAAGAATCTGGCTCCCCCCTTAGACTTGAACTGCTCGCGAAAACATTCAGTTCGAGCACACCCACATGAGCCAGACCTCGTCATCGGAGGCATCCGAACCACTCCCGGCCGCGATGCGTTTGCGCTGTGCCTGCATGGCAGTATATATGCCAGCACGATCTTGGTTTGCTGCACTTTGCAAAGCACGTTATTGATCGTATCCCGGGTATCAATATATCACGACGCTGTTTGGGTATAAGGCATAATGACTTGATCCGCATCGGTCGGATTGGATAACATGCCTTCCGGCCTACCAAGCATGGCCTCATGGCCTCTCCCTACCCCGGCATGAACGATGTCTTGGTTCCTGCATGCTCTCACATCGCGATCCGTTTACTAACTAATCCGATCAGTTCACAATCGGATGAGCCAACGAGTACCGTCAACAGTCCCGAAGCCCCACGGTGCCTTTGCTTCCAACTGCGCCATCGTTGGCTTTGGAGCATCAGCTAGTGGGTCTGCGTCGAGGGTCATTGGCCCTGACGTGAAAGCAGCAGTCACTTCTCTCAAATGGAGCGGGTGCTTGCAAAACTATGCTAATGTCAGGGACGTGGGGCATAAGGACTGTAAGGACAGTCCGATTCACCCCAGCTAAACCAGCTGCCACTCCGAGGATGCTGGTGCCTGCTTTCAATTCCCGTTCGAGTCGCTTTTGTTTGGCTATCCGGTCCAAGCCGAACTTCGAAGCCTCTCAGCAACAGGACATCTTTCTTCACGCAACGAGAGCACTCCCAAGACTACAAAGGTTCTTCTAGATTCTAGATCATAACGCCAGACAGGACATGATATGGTGCTCTTCTAGGTGACAGGCTCTCGAACGAGTGTTGAACGCTATCTTGGCCACCTGGGCATGGAGTCACACTGTTGCCGACTCGTCTACTGTATAGTATGCAGCAGCAACAAGGCCATAAAAAATGTGACCTTTTCCTGACGCTGCCGGATCTGCTCAGCAGAAGGCTCACGACAAGTTGTTGGGCACGCGCCCAATGAGCACTAGAGAGCTAAGCAGCTAGATCGCAACATCAAAACACTCCCGCCTTCGAGGGGTGTCGTGGAAAGCGATGTACATTATCAGCTTAGGCCAGCATTCGCACTGTTGCTGTGTATGCGCATGTGAGCCTAGGCTTCCTTCCATAATTTGCAAAATGTGGTACGACCAGCCCAGCAAGTAAGACACGCGAATGTGAATCATTTCACCTTCAGCCCGCTTTCTGTTCGTGTGAGTGCTTGTCGCTGAGGTGGACGCATTGGGCCTGGCCAGTTGCGATTTGCAGTGTTGGCAGCTGCCAGTCCAATGAGGTTCGCTTTCTCAATCGCAATAGCCGACTCTAAGTCGACCCTACATCTGTGGAAGCCTTATCCTACGATGGTCTGACAACTCTTGCCCAACCTCCACCGTCTCTGCCACCCCAAGTCAGGATGGTCCCGTCACCTGTCAATTTTTGGCCCTCAGTGGTGTGGTTGGGAGGGCGGCAACGTAGGCTGCAGGAATCCCTCTTCCGCCCTGCCGAGCGACGCTTCACCGCCGCAAAGGCCAGCCGCGTGGCAAAAAGGCGAAGGACACCACCCTGGCAAAGACTTCCCATGTTCACACGACCGGGACTTCGTGCAGACACAAGCAAAGCCGCCCAGAAAGTGTAGTTCAGCTTCCCTTTGCAACTATTCTCTGTTGATGGAAAAATTCTCGACGCCGCAAGTGCATGAGGCAGTGCCAGTGCCTGAAGCTGTGGGCTACAGGAGCCGGAGTCACCTCCACTCGCCTCAACTCCCAGCACTAGAAGCTGGAAGTCTCTGTCTCCATGTCTATACTTGCTGCTGCTTGGCAAAAACAACACTTCCTCTGCACGTGTCCTGCAAAGCCAGTGAGACCAGAGAGACTCAATTCACAGCTTCGAGTCTCTTGCCAAGCGACCGGGCTGCCCCAGGTCACTACCGAGCCGTCGTGCCGTAAAGCCGCGAAGGCATGGCGTGTGCCGCAGATGTGATAGATGCCTTGCAACCTCAGAGCGAGAGCTCGTCTTCGTCTCAGATGCGAACCGATATCCAGGTGTTTCAGTCGAAGTTAAAGGGAAGATTGACATCAACGTAGAAAGTCTTACGAGCAGGATACAAACAGATGGTGAAAGACAGACATGAGAGACAGCGCACAAAAGAGCTATGGAAGTCATGGACTCCTGGGTTACTTTACGATCTGTGGCAAAGTCTGGGTCTTGTTGTTAGAACGGGGGTTCGCGCGAAAGCAAAGGTGCGACAGTTTCTTTGCCAGTGGAAGCCTGATGTCTCTAAATGCCGAACATTGACCCCACAAAACAAGTAAGCTTGGTTTATGGATGTTTATGGCTTATGGAGGCTTCCTTAATCTTCCTCGACAGCCGCACCGCATCTCTGCCATGCTCGGCAGGGGGGGGATTGGCCGAGACAGAGGGAGTGAAACAACGATAACAGCATATGATATGCAGCGAGGACAATGGAGAAGCACAGCAGATAGCCGGGCCGAAGCAGAAATCTGCAGCTTTCACTTTCTGGACTGGGACCGCGTTCAACATTGCATCCCCAACGAAGTTCGCTCACACTGGCCGGCTGCTTCCACGCAGCTGTGAGGACACTGCGCTGCAGTCGCCGCCAGAATCCTGAACAGGGTCTGCATGAAGCGACGCACATTCCAGGCATGCGCCAGAGGAAAAGTGTAGCTCACGTCTCCTTCGCCCCCCAACAGTTTACACGCCCGTCACGTCCTGAGTGGTGCAAACATGACGTCAACTTGTGGCAAAACTGGCAAGCACCATGCCACAGCAAGTAGGTCAAGCAGCGGGTGAGGGCAGCAAACGCGTGGTCCGTGCAGAAGATTCGGTCCACCTCTGAACCCGGTGCCATGATGACGTGCTGCATGCTCTGCTCCACAGCAGCTCTCCACAGCAGCTCTCACGTGACACAACTTGGGGAAGATTTGTCAAGTCCGCAATTCAAGCTGGCCGAGCATGCCCCAGCATCCGACCTCACCCCGGTCCTCCGGGCGTGCCAGAATGTCTCCTGGCTGTAACTGCTGCTGTTAAATCATCCGCGAAGCACGTCCGAACATGATGCATCATAGAAAAAATTATCTGTGACCCAGATGTCGCTGCCGTGGCAAGTGGTGGCCTCCATCCGACTCCAAGCCCCAGGAGATCACATTGCCGCTTTCTTTGAGGGCTGTGAAGGCCTCTCCAAACCACAGAGACCGCGAGCAGAGCTGCACGACTGCAAGACCCGTTTGGAATGCCGACGTCGTCACCTGTGATGTCGCGTAGATCTTGAGGACCTTGGATCTCAGCTGCGCCTGCAAGGAGCTCTAAGTAGCTCGGGTCTATCTCGGCGTCAGACCGCACAGAATGCAGATGAATGCAGTATGCAGCTGGGTGAAACCTCGCCTGGACTTGGCGTGTGGAGCCGCCGCCCTGGGTTCGGGGCGGGTTTGTTGATTTGGGCGGAACCGTCAATTCGGGGATTCTGGAACCAGCCAGATCTCTTGGAGAATTGCAGTCGCAGATAAATTGGCTGGGGCCGATGATACAAACAGTTGCGTTGCTACCACATCAGCCACGCTCCTGATACTCTGATGCCAACCTTGGCATTCCAGGGAGGTGTGAGTGAGTCGTACTAAACGAAATCCTCTCTACGAGGAAGTGACTGTACAGCTGGGCCTGAGCCAGAAAGATGTAGTGACTCAGAATCTAGGTTTGCAGAACTTGTAACGACTTCACTTCAGCCAGGGCACGCTGGACAAACCCCAAGAGACAACCTCAGCTCAGCTTGAAGGCACGGCACTACGGGGCAAGAGGCTCTCAAACCGCGTCAAAATCGCCTTGCTGCCTCCTAGACGCAGAGCCGTTCTCCAGCACGACTGCGAATGCCACAGAATTTGAGCAAATCCTTGTCAGTTTTGCTGAGGTTGGTGCAGAGCTTCTAACATGACGGTTTGGTGGGCTTCGCAAACGACAGCCAAGGTCAGCACATCTTGATGCCTGGCAGAGACGAGCAGATCACGAATGCAAACAAACTTGTAACTGCAGATTCGATTGAGAGCGAAAGCAAGAAATCCCTGTGAACTGCTACTACATGCTACCAGCTACCACGTTTCAGGCAACTGTCACCCGGCAACTAAATCATGGGCGGTTCAACAATGCTTCCGCACAGATCCGCACAGTACCCCACCAAACCGTTACGAGTTACCAAACCGCACCGACCCTTCCAGAGCTTAGCGCCGAACCAAATCGCGCTGCAGCCGTTTGCCCCCGACCCATGTAGCACCGCGCAATGCTGGCTCCCTGAAAAACTTCACCCGCTCTTCCCTGCCCCTTCCACCCCAAGACACTCCCATTCAAGCGGCACCCTGCATCCACAACCGCTCCATCAGATCCCCACACCCCATCTATCGATTTAAGCAGTCATGCTAAGGGTGATCTGTCATCTGCCTTGCTTGAGCTTCGAGGCGACTGACGAGCAGTCTCCTCCCCGTGCCGGATCTCCCCAGGTTGCAACCGTCCCGTCCCGGCGGACCTGGCAGATGCATGGAAGCTGGACGATGTCTCGGCCGAGATGCGCAGCACTACATTACTGCAGCCGTTCATTCGGAGCAAAACAAGGCTGTCCTGTTGGGAACACCGCCCAAGAACCCCTGCTGCCAGGAAGCAGCCACAAAGGCGTGCTCGTTGGAGGCCAAGTAACTCACGTCACCTCACATCCTACACAAAGCAAAATAGTAGAAAAGGGAGGGAATGCGAAAACCTGAATCGACACGCAACTGTGAAAATATCTAAAGATTGCCGGAATTTGCTGGGACACACTGAAACACAACGACAAGCGAAGCCAATTGGAACAGTTGAAATATCTTGAACTCTCTCTCGCTCTTTCTCTCAGTCTCTCTCTCTACCAGGTAAGAGGAAAGGGGCGGACACCCCTTCCCGCGCACGCCTACGCGCACCTGCATGTCCTGGCAGGATTTTGAAATATCCCGGTGAGGGTTTGCCCCCACGTGCTCGGCTGTACAGCCCAGGAACAGCTGACAGGTTGAGGTTGTTCAAACGACATGAAAACGACTACACTGCATAAGGACCTACCCCCTCTCTCTCTCTCCCTCTTTCTTTCTCTAGGGCCTAAGGATCCTCTCGGAACTCGGAACCATCGAGAGCAATCCCCGAGCCAATGTAAACCGAAAGAAAGACAGAGGCCGTCAAGTCGATCAGGCCCAGGAGCGCTGAAGCTGATCGTAGACGTATCGGCTGTCACCTGCCGTCGTGGGCATTTCAGACACCCTTTCGGTTCCTGACTCTGGTACCTGACCTCCCGCCGCCGCATTGCCCCAGGTCACGACGTGGCCGTCGGCTTTCAGAGCCACGAAGGCACTGCCAGTATTGCAGATCTGCACGACACCCTGACGGGGGGTGAAAGATGAATTAACCTGTGCTTTGACAGTGGCGCACACCGAATCTCGCGTGTACTATGACATCACAAGCCACACGACGTGCTACAACTGTCTAGGTCTGGGGCCACATGATAACAAATCCAATCCTATGGCACAGCATGACACAACAGAACGAGTTCGGCGCTCACACTCGCACAATCCAGCCGAGGCATGTGGTTCGTGGTCTGCGAAGTGAAACTATCAATTGTCTAGTGAGCACGTCAAAACATCGCCCATGCGAAGCCACACCCTAATAAAGACAGTGGTCACGACGTGTTACACCTGTCTCGGTCCAGGGCCACATGATACCAAATCCGATCCTACCAGTATGGCACAGCACGAACAGAACGATTTATTGGGTTTCAGTACAAGTGCGGCGACTACGCGCTGCACCGTGGCTGAAAGCAACTCAGCCCCATCTTGTCTACGAAGCTATGTATGTCTCGGCTGGACGGGTCTCTCATAGCAAGCTCTAGCAAAGCACTGGCCGTGCAGCTGAAGGTCACTGTGAAGATGCTCGCGGACAGCAGCTGTGTCTGCGCCGTACGCTTGGTGCCCCCAGACCACCACACCTTATTGTGGACATCTTCATGGCACCTGCAGGCCTGCGGGGCCTGTGGGGCAGCTCAATGCAGCTCTGGTGGCCTCCTCCACGTCGCAGGGCAGCAAAGGCGCCGCGATTCCCCACAATGCGTGTCACCTCCACAAGCCTGATACAGACAAACTCACTCCTTGCCATCTCAGCAACTAACGGGTGACCTGAACAAAGCAAGTGTACCTTCGAGCCAGGGAGCTGCGATTCCACTGCAGAGCAGTCACCGCCTGCAAGGGGATCTCCCCAAGTCAGGACACCTCGGTCACAAAGGAATCGGTGATGCCAAATGCCACAACCAGCACGCGTCTGCCGTTCTTAAGCACTTGGTTCGAAGGCACGACCGTCGTGAAGCAACGCAGCAAAGGCTGTATCCGTGGACAGTATGGTTGCAACTTGACCTCAACTGAGACTGGGTGGTAAAGACACATTGATCTTGAGCTTTTTACCAGTTTAAGCGTCTTTTGTGGATCAGTTCTGTAGCACATCTGCCAGGCGACACTGGAAGAGATGTTGCACGAAGCGACTGTCGCCTCCGCCCTCCGGATCGCCCCAGGTCAAAATATCTCCATCCTCCGCTTCGTGGCTTTGGTGCCGGGGGATTCTGGCATAACTTGGGCACTCGAGCACCCAGGTAGACACCGAAAAATCAGAAGCCCACAGCCTGACAGCTGATTCCTCCGAGGCTCGGGATTGATGTAGGCAAAGGCTCCTGCAGTTGAAGAAAACTGTGCCCTCGCTGGTGCGACTGCTATGAAAACTGCAGCGTGGAGGTCACTATGATAAAGCGGGCCAGATATCACGAGACTACGTACATGCCAGGAAGTATCACGTGCCGAGGCTGCAAAAACAAAGCGTCCTCTGTTGGTGTACAGTCGCACTTCATCTGCCAGCTGAGCTGCCAGTATACCCTGCGGATGTGGGAGCAAGAAACCACGGCCACACTTTCTTGCATGTCAGCGCGCTGCAGATTGCGTGGAACACATGAAGTTACTGTGACGAGTTCATAGCCTGCCATTGCCTTGACCGGCAGAACTGCGCAAAACTGTGAGTCTGTGTGTATTCTCTCGACACTCTCTGGTCGCAGGTGGCCAAGAGCACTTGCAGTCAAGTGGCACCATCCTTCACGCCGGCCTCCGCTAAAGTCATGTGATCCAGAAGACAGCCGGTGTCAGAGATCAAGCTCGTCGCCACGACGCCTCGAAAGGCAAAAGCAGAGATCTGTAGCCCGCCGAGCCCCTCAGAGCTGCCGCCCTGGCCCAAAGCCACCGCGGCTTCAGCTTTCGCTTCTGACCTGAGCTTAGCAGAGCTCAGCGCTGGCCTTTCAGCTTCAGCACTCCAAGCCCTTGTATCTTCACACTGAACCTCTACCACAACTCACCAGCGTCATCCTGCTGCCTAGGCGCACTCTGGCATCGCACCGAATGGTGAGGTCAGCGCATTCCCCAGAAATCAGAACCTTGTTAAGGTGCACATGACACATCAGCGCTTCGACCTTTGCTGCACGCCGCAGGCTTTTCAGCATTTCAAGCGGGCTGCGACTTGGAGATGTAGCTGCTTCGTGTCCGACTTCCGCCGACGTTGCCCTGAAGGGCCACGAGCGACAGCCATCGGAAGCCATGGAAGTGGCGCAGCTGAGCAGCAGTGCGGCTACAAGCACAAAGTTGGCCACTGCTGTGGCTTAAAGGGGCGCGAGTATTCGCTGTGTTGCCTTGACCTGTCGGCACTTGTCACCCCCATCATGTCGGAGCTCAGGATGTATTACTACTAGAGTCGATGAAACGGCAATTGCTATTGAGCTCAGCTTCTGCATTTCATGCTGAAGCTACATGCCCAACAGGCGTCCTCAATGTCGTGCTGGCTGCATATGCCGCGGCATTAGGAACCCGATTCAACGGCTGATGGCAACGGCCCAGTGGCAGGATACGTCTGGCAAACCCAGATCGGGACGTGAAAAGCTCCTAGCAGTTTCCAGCATGACTTGGACAGAAGGCCCCGGCATTGTCTTGGCGCAATAATCCACCCTCCTGGAGATCTGGCGCCTGGTTTTTGAAACACAGCTCCACACTCCTGACAGGGTGTTTATGTAGCAGCTATGTCGAGCAGGGAGTGCCGGCTAAGCTTGGGACATCGAGCTGGTCAGTCAGCTGGGCCTCAATCACTGATGGAATCTGAGACGCTTATATCAGCCAGTAGCAAAAGACTCGCGCACGCAGTGCACACTCACCCACCAGTCATGCAATCTGTCTTGGATGCAACCTATACTTGCCGTTCACTGCCTGCACCTTTCCCTGTGGGGGCATTTGATGCAAAGAAGTGCCAGCAAGCCGAGCATCCTTGCCATCTGCATGTTTTCCCGTGGAGTCACAACTTTGGTGCTCTCATTTAAACAACGACAGAAGCAGCAATGGGTATGGGAGCAGCCTAGGCGGACAGGGATCCTTAGGAAGCCCCCGCGTAGCCGCCAGATTCATTACTGGGCTTCTCAAGAAGCTCCTTGAAGCGTCTCACGGTTTCCATAGCCTGGGCTTCTCGAGAACTCTAACCCTGAGTGCAGCGTGCGGTGCGAAGCTGCCCTGGCATAGGTAAGCACTACGTGCCTTGTCGAAGGACTTGATGCACGATTTGGGCCGAGGAACATGCGGCTGCACCATGTCGAAGAGCGCCTGACCTGAACTCGGGAGAGCTAAATTGCTCTGATACACACGCACGCACACCCACCCACACACACACACACACACATATATATATATACACACACACTTACTTACACTTACACTTAGGCATCCATCACGCAGCCGCTGACCTGTCTGTCTATCGAACCCTGCTCGATGTAATCGTGAAAGCATGAAACTTTCGGGGTTCCGGTACCAATCTGGACTCAAGGCTCATCAGTTGTTAAGCTGTTTTCTGTTGAATACTGTACAGAGGCAGCTAGCTCCAATATACAAGACACTCAGCAACAACGATATCGACCCCAGGTTTGTGGGGCTTAGCCTGGTTGCCATTCTTCAGACATTTGTATGTATCGATTCCAGGTTTCCGGCTTGTCCTGGTTGCCATTGCAGATGCAGGTACGCTGGGATGATAAGTCCAAATATCCTGCGGTTACCATAGGGAGCTTCGTTGGGCAGAGCGCCATGGGCCTCCCCTTCCCCCCCCTGCAATTCTGCACGAATGGAATGACTCTTGGTAGCAAAGTTCTACACACATACACACACACACACAATCCGCGGCTCTGCCACGAGCACGGCGCCACTATAGTGTCAAGCACCTCCAAACAAACATAAACAAACATTAGCTCAGGGAGCTGAACTGACCGAGGAAGGTCAAGTTGGTGCATTCGCTGCTCTCGCTAGTCGCCTCCATGATGTAGCCTCCAGGCTCAATGACTTGGAGAGGCGGTTTCGGAAAAGCCTAACATCCTGCCATCGATGCTCTACCAGCAGGTGTCATGTTGACTTAACATGGCAAACAATCGCATTATACTGTGCGAGTTCGGCAAGTGCACCTGATGGTAAGACTTCTGTCCGCTGGAGATCATCCCGGGGTGGAAAACGCTTGTCGGATCGCACGCTCCGCGAGCAGAGGATGAACACATTCTGGTCAGGCTTCTCCTGCCCATAACGATTTCTGAAACTGCTCAGCCCTCTGCCACCTGTGTTACAAGTGCATTGCAAGGGTCCGGGCATCGCATGTGATAGTGGCGGCATACTGTAGCTCGCACAGACAGGAATCAATGCCGCAGCCAGGCAAATTTTGGAAGACTTCGCTCCTCGTAAGCGCGCAAGACAAGGAGTTCCTGCTTCGGCCTTTTGGTGGGACTCGTGTCATTGGGCGGTGGCGCCATGACCATCCGAACCTGGGCATTTCCTACCAAGATTGTCAACTACATCACCGTTCCTTTCAATTTTCTGAAGTTTCTCGTTTCAGCACTCACAACTCGGACAAGCCTGGCGAGGTTGCTGCTTTGGGTGACAGCACATGGTGTCAGGGTCTGGGGGAGCGCAAGCGCAGGGGGACATTCCACACCAAGCGTGTCGTGCCGGGGTCCTGAAATGTGGCAAGTTACAGTTAAAGGTCGGGAACACGTCTAGGTTGGTAGCTCGTGGCTCCCGTCAGGTTTCATGTCCTGCTGGGGGAAGCTGAGGGCAGCGCAAGGTCTGCGGAGTTGCGACAGCAAAGGATGACTTCAGCTTCGGTACAGTTGACGTCGAACTCCATCCTGGTTAGGGAACATGTGCCAAAAATGCGCGTGCTGCTCGATCAACATGCAACTTCAATTTCGCAATACTTGACCGTCTCCCCCTGTGCAACTTACACTTTTAGACCGTTCGTTGGACAGCACAGGCCGCCATGGTGCTATGTATGTCTTACCACGATTGGCAAGAGCGCCTGCTGTTGGCATCCTTCAGCAGCCGGAAACAGTCCTGACATCTTCCCAGCACACTTGCAGTACAGGCTGTCAGGGTGGGTGCATTTGTTAAAGCATTAAAGCAGCAACCTTTCGATCAGACATGCGGCGGATGGTGATCTCTTGATAGTCGCCTGTGTCTCAAATGACTGGCTTGTGTCTGCGATTGCTGTGAAATCGCAGGCCTTGACTTTCAGGCGCGAAACGGAGGAAGTGTTTCGTAATCCGAACTCCACCCAGGCTTCGACGCCTGTGGCTTGGGAATGCAAGGGGGTTCGAACGCCAAAGCAACATCGCGTCTAGACGAACTAGCCTCGAATCCGGTGGTGATTTTCAGGTCACCCGACGGCCAAACAAGATGGAGATTTCGGCCTTCTGTGGTGGTGATGAGGCGCTCCCAGCGAAGCGTGGCGTTATCGTTCAGGCAAAGAATACACGAGAGGCACTGCACAGCCACCTCGCAAATGCACAGCAGCGGAGCCAAACCAAGCAATGACTGTTTCAAGCTATTCCGAGCTGGCCTGCTGTGCCTTCTCACTTTCCGGATCAAAGTCAACGCTGAACCTGCAGCCGCAGATGAGCCTCAACCTAGGACCCCAAAGATACACCCGAAATCTCAGTCGAGGTACTGGTGGCACGATGACTCGAAGGAAGGTTGTGACCTGTCACTGTCTGGCTCCAAGATTAGCTCTCCCTTTCTCTCCGTCGTGCCATCCTCAAGGGTCTCGGCAAGGGCACGTCTGGTATTCTAGCCTGCCGTTACGTGCCCCTGCGTGCCCCAAATTGGGCTACACCCGATTATGGCAGGGACGCGCTTCGAGAAGCCCCTTGTAAAGACGCAGTCGGAAACATTAGGAAACCAGCAAAGCAAACACAGCATTGCAGATCCTTATCCTGCCAAGAACGACGGAAAACACGAGGGACAAGGTCGATTTCTAAACCCGACCAGACCAGATATCTTATCAGGAAGGCTCAATCAGCTCGGAGTTCGCAGCTACATCATTTTTCTCTCGCACGGAGGGTCATCCTACAGCTCTGCCATGAACTCGCTCCGATCCTCCGTTGTCCTTGGCCTTGCCGAGGAAAGCTCTTCCTCGGCCGTGCCGCGCAACTAGATCGCATCAGCTGGTAACATGATGGGTGATTGTCATGATGTTTCTTCGCAGGTGTTCTTTTGCTCGCCACTCGCCACGCGCCCTATCGTCGGCTACCTCACTCCTGTCCTGGCAGAGACCGGATGATGTCGGAGTCACCTGGACATCACATTCGAAGAGCAACTTGGTAGGGAGCCAGCTGAACGCTTGTGCGCTCTGACAACCTTAAAGCTCAGACGATTCTGAACCCTCCCTGCCTGGATCTGTGATGGACAAGCAGCTCACACGATAGTAACGTCCGCAAGCCGTACCAAGCTCGTTGTTGTCGCCATGGAAGTGATGGACGCCAGTTTTAGCCAGCATAGCCTCAGAGGCTGCAGCATGCATGCCGGTTTGCGCGGCGTTCTGTAAGGTCAGCCTGATTTTAGCTCGGACTCATTCTCTCGAAGTTTCGGGAGTCGCTAAACTGAACAAGTCAAGGTGGCATAGTATTCAATCTCGCTCTTGCGCAGGGCCGGGCAGTTGTTGGAGATCCTGAGCTTCGACTTGGGCAGCAGCCAGGTCTCTCGACGCAAGCAGCAGGCCAGTACAAGCGATGCGAGCAGGGCTGAACCACATGCATCAGCAGCTCGGCCCTACATACTGGCGACCCCCCTGCTGTGCCAAGTACATGCTGCCAGGAAACAGCACCAGCTTCGACTTTCCTTGCCTCAGGGTCTTCAGCGTCGTTTTGTAGCCCAAGCTGTACCTGAATGACGACAGACGAAACACTAACAACACCCAGCCGCTCAGTCCAATCAACTTCCAGCGAAAAAACGCCTCGGAAGCACTGCAGGCATCGCAATTTCTCGCCAAGGCACTTCCCACTCTTCATCACCAACTGCAACCGGGCATTGATGGAGTCGGCGGACTTGGATGCCTTCGACTGCTTCTTGGTGCTCGACATAGCTATGAGGCTCTAGCGCGGGTGTGAAACGCGCTGGCAAGCGAAGAACACGAGGTCCTTTTGGTCGAGCCGAAAGGGGCCATCCACGTCAAGTTGCACAGCATCCTACTGGGAGTGTACAGGGGCAACATACTGAGTAGGTGTGCCGCGTAGAAAATCGAATACATAAGTTGATACCGTAGACCGACAAGATGCTGCAAATTGCTTGAATGTGGCAACTTACGTGGGGCTGCCTCTCCACCGTTCCGCCAAGGCTCGGGATAGCGGAATGCAGTCTCGTGCCGCCAGTAGTCTAGCAGCATGCGTAGGAGGCGCGGCATATCAGGCTGAGGTATCCATCCTTTCAGGGACGATACCCAACCATCCAAACGAGCAGAAGGGAAATGGAGCTTCTATGAACGGCAAGAAAAATGTGCAGTATGACCCAGCAAAGGCACCAGTGAGCTCCTGGACCCGGCTAATATCTGCCATGACGATTCTCTCATCATAGGCCCGGAGGCGCGAGACATCCATCTCTAAGCGCAGAGTAAACGGATCGCCTGATTGATTTTCTGGACTCCATGAAGGGCTTAGCAGCACCAACTCATTGAGGAGCTGCTGCATGCTGTAGGAAACATTCGAGCCCAGATTCACCACGGTGTTGCTGGGAGCAACTTCTGCCAGGCAAACGACCACAGGAGCTGAGTCGACGATATCAGTAATGTCACGTCTAGTCGACAAGTCCCCGTGGCGTAGCACGGGTGGGGAGAGAAGGCCCCGCTCCACCATAGCGACCTGCCTTGCAAAATCATGCAACGCAAGGGCCTCCACACCGCGAGGTGCTAAATGGATGAAGAACCGAGGAACGATAACGTGCAGGCCATGTGCACGAGAATATGACAAAGCAAGAAGTTCGCTGGCTGCTTTGCTGACCCCGTATGGTGACACTGGCTTCATGGCTGCCTCCTCAGGCACGGGGCCATCCCAGTCCTCTGTTGAGGCACCATACACGGTCGAAGAGCCTGCGATCACAACTCGGGTGCTCTTCATTTTCAGCTGACGTGCTGCTTCCAGTATGTGGAGTGTGCTCATCATGTTCGTCGACAATGTCTCGGCTGGCTGGTCAAAAGACAAGCTGTTGAATGCTTGCGCTGCGAAGTGAAAGATGTAGTCCGGCTTCACTTGCTCCATTAGTCGTAAAACCCGCCAGGGGTCGGTAAGCTCAGCAGTTAAAATTTCAATCTTGGCTTGGAACGTTGCAAGATTTCGAATGTTGCTGCGTGGTCTCACCACGCCATATACTTTGTAGCCACGGCCCAGCAGCGCTTCTGCCACATGGCTTCCCAGCATTCCCGTGATTCCGGTAACCAGGGCCTTCTTGCCATTTCCATGCAGAGTATGACAAGGAGACCAGGCTTCGAAGTGGGTTTTCCGCTCCTTTTCCTCTGCACTCGAAACGGTCCAAAGCAGCCAAAGCGTCCAATGTTTCCACCGTGCCATGCTGGCGACGCGGCTTTGCGCAGTTGTGAGGACTACCTCTGGCTCCTTCTAAGTGCAGCCTCTGAAGAAGCTACCGAAATCCCCTGTCGAAACGGTCTGACCCTGACACCGGCGCACAAAACAGTAAGGACATCGAGGCTCAAGTAACCAAGCACCAATCATTCGCAGAGGGGATCCGAGTGCTGGCCTCTTCCCGTCCATCCGCCGAAACTCACGGAAGTCTTGCCGGGCAATTGCTTTCCGGTACTCCTGGTCCTTCCGCCGCAGCAGGCCGTGCACTCTTCTTCACACCAGACTTTGGAAGGCATTCAAACGGTCCATCTGCAGTGACAGCTCGCATATTGCACCGTAGTGGTTACAGGCAAGGCATGCGTGGCGATTGATGTCCTGCTCCATGGTACCGGGAACCACGTCTGTGACGTGCCTCGTGAGCCTTAGAGACACCAGAGTTGCATTGCGCTTCTCATCGAGTCGGAATCAGAGGTTACAAGGCAATTGAGTAAAAGATTGCTCCGCTCTGTGCCATTCTGCACTCAGACGTGTATGGTTTGCCTGCAGAATGCAGTGGAGGTGCGGCTCATGAAATGGGCCACGCATCACAGCGAAATTCATGTAGCCCTCGTTAACCTACCAGTGTGGCTGCCCGCATGAAGCCACAGCTATGAAAGCCACAACAGTCTGGCCTCCATGGGTACATCTTGCGTGCTGGCCGAATTAGAAGTGACCCGGACTTTTACTTCGATGCTTGAGGGAAAGACTCGCGTCACCGAGGCCGTCACAAGCACCTGGGTTGGTCGTGACATGTGGAATTGACTTGCCTCGGAAAGGCGCAGAGACTGGCAGAGACAATGTACATTCCGAGAATTGTTGCTGGGAGACTCGGTCGCCAAGCCGGCTTGGTGCTTTGAAGTGCACCTGAGCGGCCAGTTTACCCAACAAGATAGAGCCTTTCACTGACCCCACTCTTCAGCCCAGCGACGGTATCCACGCTTACAGGCTGCAGGAACGCATCCTTCCAGCTAGGCACAGTCCAACATGGCCAGAACAAAAGGCACAACAAGAGGCTTCACTGGCGGCTTTGCTGCAGCTTTGCCAGGCTTCTTTGACTATCCTTCCTTGAGCTGCTCCACTTGGAGCCGATCCACACCTACTCGGCTCAGCTCTGCACGGCAACACAACTGTACGCCGACATGTCCGCACATGCTAGTAAGCTAGTACCGGGTAGAACTGTCAAAATAAGCCCCTGCCTCCAACGCCAAGGGGTGGGCGGCCGTCATCAGCACCATCTTTGGGCGCACAGGACATCCTCCCGTGCAGGCACTCATGCGAAGCTCACAAAATCTCACAAAGCGGCTCGGCCTGAGGTGCAGCCAAACAACCGTCTTCGCTCCCTTGACCTGCAGTCTCCTCTTCGCCCACAGATGAAAGTGCTCTGTTCAGGCCAGCTGCCATCCATGCCATAATCTGCCCGCCGAAGGTGTTGCCCATGTGGTTGGTATGCGTTGGCAATACCTGCACGCTCCGAACCATCGAACGCTGTGCTTACAGAGTGCAACCGCGCTTCCTGCGGTGGATGAGCACCAAACTTCACCGAAACCGTTGCCAATGACGGCCCAGGAGCAAGCTCCGTGAAGGTCAGAGCTGAGCCTCTACACAATGTTGGGAAAGCGTGGGGGCGTGGGTGTCGACGAGGATTTAGATGTGTTGCATAACGTTGCAAGTTCAGGCATGTCTGCCCCTGTGCGTGCGTGTACTTGTGTCGGTGTGCGTGTGCGCCTGCACATGCGTGCATGCATCCGTGCATACCGCACCACGTGGTGTAGCGCCTCGGAACACCAACTTGCCTGCAAAGTCTGCCGTACACACTCCGGATTCGTGCAACTATCAGAACTGAAAGGCTCCGCCCGACTTCACCGGCATTTAAGCAGCAGCCCATGCACATGGAACGAAAGGTTCTGCCTCCATGAAGTGGCGACAAGTTGACGGTGTGCTCGGCTTCCGACTCCTTCGGGGCAAGGGCGCCCCCATCTTTCGAAGGCGAGTCTGCCGGGGTTAACCCGTGCCTGTACAAGTGTAAATTCAACCCGGTCTAGCCTCTAGCCGAAATAACTCTCCGTCCGTTCATCCTGCTCATTGCTCCCTCGACGCAGTCAGTGACAGCACTGCTTTTCTGCAGCTTTGGGGAAAGGCCCTCGTGAGCCTTGCGGCTCAAAGGCCGTAGTCGTTCTTTGGGCAGGTCACCGGCGGATGGCATGACTTCTTGTGGCACGTTGAACTCAAGGCTGCTAACAGAAACGTACATCTCTGAATCAAAATCAAAAGATGCTCCGGCAGCAAGCTCGCACTTGTGTGGTCCGGTGTTCCTTGGTCATCTCGGCGACGCGCTTCTCGCGGTTCTTCCGGAAGTTCCTGTCGCGAGGTGCCCGCATCCATGAGATGTTGCATCTTTGAGGTTCCACGGGTGACTGCACATGATCCACCGGCCTACGCCGCTCCGCCAAGCTGTACTCCAGATGCTCCTACTAATCCGTTGCAACTCTGACGGAATAGAGATATAGGTATCGTTTTTTTGTACGGCTGCGGGAAGCGCTTTCGTTCGAAATGCCAAGATCTGTAACAATACGCGAAGAACTGCCACATATATCACTAAAAAGCGTCCAAGCTGCAACGAGAAATCCTGAATGAGCTTCCTGGATTCCTTGAGTCTGCGCGCTCCAATCCCGCCTTTCCCAATATGAGATATCTGAGTCAGTTCTCCTCCGCCGTAATCGGAACCAGCTCCGGGACTTCGACCTTGGTGTTGCTGGCCTGGACGTGATGACAAGGATGACCCTGCACACACGTGAGCCAGAACGCTCTAAACAAGCAGTCTTTTGTTGCAGACCGATAGCATGTGCTCATGATTCATGGTGAGTCCGTGCTGTCGTTCCCCTTGCAGTTTCGGTGTGGCTCCTCCTAGTTAGAATCGACATGCAGTGAGCGAAGCAGAGGAGGTGACATATCTATATTGACAGGCCTCCCATTGACTCCGATGCCCGGGCGCCTTCTCTTCGTCGGTCTTCAAGACTACGTACATGAAGTATGCGCTGCCAACCTCGATGCCCAGCGCATCCGGCGCATACGGTAATACAAGACCAAGGCCTAGGGTACAACTTGATGCCAGGCAATTTCAGTGCAAAGATGTGCATGCAAGCGGCGAAACGCAGCGTACCTCAGTCAAGGGCCAAAAACAGACAGCATGTAACAAACACGAGCGCAGAAGAAATAGCGACTTATGATTGTTCAAACTTCGAATGTCCTACTTAAATGAAACACCTGGTTGGATACTCAACGGCAACATAGTGTGGGATGAACTACAGCATGCTTGAAGGGCAAGGCTTGCAGAGAAGTGCAAGTGGCTTCTTTAAAAACACACATGTTCTCACTCGTAAGTATAATTTTTCAATCTTGCGTTTTTTGCTTGTGCACGTCGCTGAGCTTTGCTGCCTTGCTTTCTAAAATTGCTTTGGTACCGAGGGCGCCGGTGGGAACACTGTCGGGTGGGTACTTCTGAGGGCTGGCGCTCAAGGGGATACTGGATGCTCGTGGGCAATCTGCAGGATGCTCTGGGTAGACTCTCCAGTGATGCTCTGCAGGAATGAGTACAGCACAATAAAGAGAGCGACGAGGGGGCCCACACATCAAACGATCCCCCACTGTTGGTGGGGAATGAAAATCAGGAAGCAACCTGCACGATGACAGCAGCAGGCCCTAACGGCCCAACGCGTATCCTGCCATGGTCATAGTCAAAGCAAAGGGCCTGAGTGCACGTGGGCCACAGAGATTCGGACGACCACCTTCATCAGCAGGAAACCAAGCTAAACCATCGTGATTCCATAGCAGCATACAGTGCAGCTACGAAGGCGGCCTCCATTGAGCTGCCGAAGGCCCGGGTCACCTGCCGGCGCGGCAGGAAAAAATGGTGAGGACCTAGCGATAGCCGCAAAGCTTTGCGAACAGTTCGGGCCTTTCCCTCCAGGATGCAGCGCTCTCCTTCGAAGCAAAGCGAAGCGAGCTTTCGGAGGGAGCTGCAGAAGCTCCTCGCAGGAGGAGCTCAAAGGCGGTGTCCGTAAAGTCCAAGTCATCCATGACCTGTCGCTGTCACAGGCGCGGTCTGTGTCCCGCTTCGAGACTGGCAGACCTTTTCGACTTAGGGCACGGCCAAGGTCACGGCTGAGCGCCTGCAATGCCCTGAGCGGATTCAGAAATCACATTGGACATTTCCATTCTTAGTGGCTCCATGAGTCTCCGCTTGAATTTGAGCACGGCGGCGCTCCGCTGCCAGGCAGCTCGCCGCATCCATCCACCTCGGCTCGGCCACTCTGCCACCACACCCGCCGCTCTTGGCGCAGCACATCTGTTGCAGGCACAGCATGGTGTCTTCGGGCTAATGTCTCATTGACTTCAAACCGAACCACGGGACACGAGGGGACACCATGTGCACCGCTCACTTCAGCACGCCCTTCCGCGCCAGCATGCAGTGTGGCGTGGCATGACGGTGTGCTGCGTCAGCAAGCGACTAATGAATTGTAGTTAGCCTACAAACCAGCAAAAAGGCCACACGTAGCTCACACAGACAAGCGGCTGAGATTCTGAAACTAAGCCCGCCTCATGGGATCTTAACTACTCGTAACACACCGAAATCTGAGCGGCTCCAGCAGATATCCGAGGCTGAGGATGTTCTGCGAATCACACACGGCGCCATCAATCTCCTGCAGCTGCGGAATGTATCAGAGCAGTGGATGCTCCCCAGACTTGCTTAAAAGACTTCACTGCTTGATTTGAGCTGGTTGGTCCTTCAGGAGCGTTACGACGCTGTCTACCGCTAACTGCTTGCGGCCTCAGTGATGACATACGTTTGAAATGGCCTGCGGACCTCTAGTCGAACTTTGCCAAGACGCTTTCCGGCTTGGCCGGGTCCACAGCCTTCACTTTTTGGGATGATACATTCCCCATGGCTCGATGAGGCGACAGGAGCTCGCTGCTCGAAGCCGAAGCTTTTGATCTTCTGTTTGTGGACTTGCGTCTTGTACGTAGGTCATGGCTATAGTTACAGCCGTGGTGCTAGATGACTACATGTTGCCATGGATTGCAACTAAAGACTGGCTCCACATAGTGCCTGAATATAGATGGGCCTTAGGTCCTTAGGCGGGTCATCATGCACAAGGATCGCAACGAATGGCTGCAGGCTTGAGGGCCAGAAATCTCTCGATCTCTGCATTCAACGCGCCGGTCCGCGACATGCCAGTGCATGCGCAGAACTGCCAAGTGCAGCCCCGGCCCCGATCTGGCTTGGGCATGGGCAGGGCCGGCTTCCATCATGTCCTGGTCTCGTATTTGCTGCATCTTCCCACTCCGTCTGCCGAGACTTTGCACAGGGTATATGATATATGCATCACCAAGTCAGGGGCCACGCGACGAGAGATGGTCATGTAGAACCCGAGCAACACCTGACGAAAAGGAAGATGTAGATAGACATACAGACAGACAGACAGCCGGACAGGAAGACAAACAGACCGACACACACACACCAACGCCATCAGACCACAACACAGCATACCATTGCCGTACGCCATGCCCACACCAGACCATGCTGCATCGAGAGAGAGAGAGAGAGAGAGAGAGAGAGAGAGAGAGAGCGTGTGTGTGTGTGTGTATGTATATATATATATACTACAGAGGTAAACATGCATATGTACAAATATATCTACATATATATATATGTATGTATATATGCACATACAGAGAGAGGGAGAGAGATCATTGTGTGTGCATATGTACATTTGTACGTACATATGTAAGCATGTAAGCATGTAAGCCTGTATGTGTGCATGTATGCATGTATGTATGTATGTATGTATGTATGTAAACATGTAAGTAAGTAAGTAAGTAAGTAAGTAAGTAAGTAAGTAAGTAAGTAAGGAAGTAAGCAAGCAAGCAAGCAAGCAAGCAAGCAAGCAAGCAAGCAAGTAAGTAAGTAAGTAAAGTAAGTAAGTAAAGTAAGTAAGTAAAGTAAGTAAGGAAGTAAGGAAGTAAGGAAGTA